CATTTAGCCTTTTTGGTTTACGGTACTAAGGAGTCATCATCTTTTTTGTTGACCAATTCTCTTCTTTCGATGGATGTACTCTCACTTCTTCATGGTCGATGCGTTCGCAATCTTTTGGTCATTGTGCTCTGTTCTCCACTCAGGCATGCAACAAATTCGATGCAAAAAATGAAACCATCCGTACTACATGCCTATCAAAAATGAGGTCGTTTTCTCTGGCCATATTCTTACCCTTGAAACCAAGGGTCTTGTGATAGTCTGAATGGTACCGAATATAGGAATACGAGGACCCGTACCGTAATGCTCAGAACTGGATTGGCTCCTAGCCGAACTGCGGACACCATTGAAATACACGAGGAATTGATAGCAGCAAATGCTTATGTTTATTAATGGAATTAGAGCATGTTTTAAGGTAATAGGCCGTATGATTGGTTGAACGACCGTTCCCGATCACGTAACCGTTTGCGCCGACGCATCATATGTACTAACTCAGATGTCATGTTCGCCCAGTGTACCGTTGGCCGAGCTTCCTGAACGGCGATTGGATGACATGAAGCTGTACCTGGTCGTGCCTGAAATGCGGTCACAGAACTCTGGATCACCACAGGTCTCTTCATGAGTGCTCCACTGTAATCCTGGTAACTGTAGCAGAGTGGTACTTGTCAAGCGGCTTAAGTCGTTGTCACCGGCATGCTTTGATGGAAGGCAGCCTTGCTGTCGTCCGGCTCAATCCATCGCCTAACTTATTGGGGCCTTATGTTGTTCGCCACTTAAAGTCCCGGGACTGAGGTTGCTGGTCTTTATGAGTGAACGTCAGGTTCACGTAACTGTTCCGATGTGTCACTGCATTAGAATTTCTCGATGGAATTTTTCCTAGCATACTCCGTCGGTATACTTTATCAGACCTAACGAGTTCGTAGCTATACTAATAAGGTTGCATGGTGCTTTCCTCTGTCTACTTGCTACTTTTATGTTCAAAAGCATCTAGGATGTAATGTAAACTAATCGCAGCTGGAATTATTCTTAGTTTTTTGTATATTCCATGGTTTATGTATCGTTCGTGTTTGATTTTATTACTACAAATGTTCAATGCATTTAATTTGTAATGAAAGTCTGCATGACGGGACAGGGACGCAAGAAAGATGCAATGCTGATGATCCTGACTCTCTTTGTTGGATGTGATAAACTTCCAATATGCTTTTTTTATTAACAAAGCATCGTATCTAACTCATTTCTATCCAGTTTCATTACCCTTGTTATTCTTTGCACAGTACTACTATCCCTCTCCTTCTTGTTGCGCGGTCGGGACAAACAATTTATCGTTTTGTCTGGCATTGCAATCCTTGTGTTCCGCAGTGAACTGATTCTGTTCTATGGTCCTTGTCTTCTTTACGGAATAATCCAAGGCAGTGTTCGACTACGGCCGACTCTTTTTTTGACCGTTTTGCTAACAGCACTCGGTAGTTTGAGTAAGTAAGCGAGAATTCATTGCATTTTTCACTTTTTCATTGATATTCGATTTGGTTGGCCAAATTTTGGCGACAAAAGCTCCCCGTTCCATACTAGGAATGCGTTTTCACACATCATTATTTCAACATGAAACCAATTACAGAGAACTGGCAAATGTGTCACAACATATGGACAGAAAGAAATCTAAAGAATGTGTTCATAGGTTGTGTGGGCATGTTACTTCCCGGTTGCCCTGGCCGAAGAAGGGGGATTGCCTCGGGATCCCCACCCGAAGTCTCTGGCTAGCTAGCCAGGCCTGCAAGACAACAGGACGAAGCTCAGAGTTCGCAGTCCATTGGGGGCCGGTGTCCAGTTCACTGGATCATACGCCCTTTGGACGAGGTCAAACGTCCAAGGTGCCAAATACACCTCGATGCCCAATTGAGCCGGTGACCACTGCCGCGACTAGGAAGTTGTGCGTGTGGTTCGTACGCCTCTTCTTGGTTGGTTTGGAATCAGTGTCTTTGGCCAACTCCCTAGGTGAACTGCCAATGGTCCACTAACCCAGTTATAGCCCCAGATGTCGGGTTTTCGTCCTCNCCACCACGAGAGGGCAGCGAGTAGGGCTTCCCCAGCAGAAGCCATTTGAGACGCTTGGTCATATATGAGCATTTCGCGAGGTGTAAGGGAACGGTGACCAGTCTCAATCCCAGACACCCACCCCCACCATACTGAGGCTTTCGGAGGCCAATGAATTAAGCTAGCCTTGTTTCTCAGAATCGCACTCATGTGTGAAGCGTCACGTGTCATCTTTATCATGTTCAGGTACTGTTGTGCATCGGGAGTAGCACATCTGAGTCATCATGCTGTCAATGTATTTTGAATTTATATGACCTGTATAAACGTATATGCTTATATTTCAGTGTCTACCATGTAAACTATGAAGAACAATAAAATCAGGACAATAGAACACTCGTCAAGTAAGGTACCAGAAGCATTTCCATCCCTCAAACTGTGAACTACCCCGAAGCTTTAATCGGACTCATTGAGAACCGCAAGTCGAAAGATCAACCTTCATAAATGAACCCGAAATTGTCACTCTTGAAAAGCCGCAACTGTCTCTTTAAGGCGAACCTATACACCTTGTTTACTCGTGTAAAGTTAAGCTCAATACTGCTGACACAGAATTCCGTTTCGGTAAGAAGCCTTCAATTAATCACAGGTAGTCACCAAAAATGATGGTTTTGTCCAAGATGACAAAAAAGAAACAAGTTGGTAACAACCTTCTCCAGGCTCCAAACTGAGCAAACTAATCCCACGCTTTTCCTGGCTATCATTTCCGTTTTCGCTGGGCTCAATACTTCACGTATCCCGGCGTTGCGTGCATCCTCACTGTAAATATCAGAGCTTAGTTTTCCGTTCTTATGACCGAAAAGTAGCTCCTTGTAACTGTGAGATTTGGCCCTTCCGCTGGTAGTCGCAAAACGTTGTGGTATAAAAATTTCCTTGCTGTAGTTTCCGTCGCGATACAAATGGTTTTTATTTGAATGGGATATCCTGTTGCAATATGGTGGCCAGACCACGGCAACTTGCTCCATATCTGCATGATATGACGATGTGATTAGTATACATTGTCAGTTTCACGGTGCCTCCGAACCGTTTCTAACCATTATTAATTGAGTTTTGGTGATGAATTCGGATTTTACAGTACCTGTACATTTGACTGATCATACCGCATGCACTGCTGTTCTGACTCTATCCTTTCCACTATGCCACGCAGCTATCAGTGCCTTAATCGATTCAGTGTTTTGGCAACAATTTATTTGGCCCGAAGGATTCGTTTTCTACTTCAATACCGTGCTCAATAAAAGTGGACAGTGGGGAGTATCCTTTTTACGTTTTGTCATCCAAATTTTCAGCACCTTCGTACGGTTATGTTTTTCGTGATTTCACGATCTGTTTATCCTGTCATTCTCGTGTCGTATTCGTAATGGGATACACGAAACCGGTAGACTGAAATATTTTCTGAAATAGTCGAGCTTATCTGTGGTGTCATTTTCTTCCTTTTTAGTGGATTNTCGTTGATTATGCCGGAATAATGTGACGAAACTGAACACGGTATGCATGGTCTCTGATGGTTTTCTGTGCAAGGTCTCTCAACAACTGTGCTCTCCTTTTTTTTGTTCAATTGCTTTCAGTTTATTGAATTCAAAATACCTACATTGTGACCATTTGCTTTACCGATGTGATTGATATTCGGTTAGTATGTGAAATCGAGTACTTCGATAAGTGACTTCGTTCTCAAATACCATAAATGAATAGAGAAACTCATGCACTTTCATGTGTTATCGATGTTACTAACTGGAGATGTATCAAGTAAAAATAAAAGACACCGAACCATTAACAGGGAAATCGACATAAGTACCATAACATATGAAGGTAGATAACGTGAAAAATTATGAATGTGTCTCGACATGTAAGGGTTTCATGGTTTCGAGATACGTCTACTTATGTTCGCAAATCCGGAAGCTGAGTGTCCTAACATTGCCAGTTTAATGGTTTTGTTTCAGCCCTCGATCACGTCCATATATATTTCGGTACATTTATGTCAATTATCAGACTAGGTGCATACTCCCCTCCTCTACAAATTGGCACAAGGAGTTCACGTATGCCAACCGATTTGTGATAATTTGGAAGTCGAAGTTCTTGGGAGGTATCTTTTTCGGTAGTCAGTGAAACGCCCACAGACCGTACGTCGGGAGTCGGACATAGTGGTGTCGATGGCCAACTGAATTTTTTTGAAAGTGTCCCGACTTCAACGTGCTCTCGCAGATTGAGTTCACCGTTTATTTCGCGTATGATCTCATTTACAGGTGTCCTTTTGTTCTCTGCCGTTCTGATCAGAACTAGGCAGCAATTAGTTCCATCATGTGATTTCAAAAATGGTTTTTGTTCTCCGTTGACGTTCTTACAAACTTTTACTGCTTCGCGAGATGTTCCAATTGGAGTAGAGAATTTCGATAGAACGTACTAAAACCTGGTAGTTGATGGTGCGCTTTATGAAGGAGTATCTTGTGAAAGCAGCTTTACGCGTTCTACAGACCATCAGTGGGATGGCGGACCGTCCATATCAGCACCTAACGCGGGAAGGTTTTGATCGAGTATTGTTATTAGATCAAGTCCTTGCTTTCTTTCGCCATCCCAGCCACCACTCCGAAGAGAGCGTCCACGAACAGAGGATATGGGAACCATTGCCGGTAAGTCTAGGGTAGTCACGGACGACCATTTGCAGTGCTGGAGCACGTGGTTTTCGAGTTTAGCATCTCCCTGAAAATACGTCAGCAGCAAGCCAACAGTCTTCATTCTTTCAGCCTATATACACATATTGGTGACAAGAAAACAACACACTTCGCCGGTTTAACAAGCAATTCGATCGCGTTCGAATCTGCACATCATTTTCACCCCGAATTCACGAAGTCAGGTTTGTATGTCAACTAGAATCAACGACTAGGTCTCGTACCACAAGAGGTCACACAGTTAAAGCACTAATTGTGTCGGACATCTCAGTTCGCGTTCTCTCGCAACCGATCTCAATGTTCGTACAAACAATGACACTGTTGTATTCCCCGCAGTCGTTAGGACGAACAGAAATGTCGACCGTTCGGTACCGTCGTACGACTTTCAAGTATGTAAACCAGATTGGTGACGTGACGTCCGTTACGCGATTGTTAATCACCACAAAAATACAAGTCCCGGTCTTTCAGAACAGTCATATTCCCACAGTAATTTTTTGTTTCGTAAAAACTCAGATTCTCGAGAAATGCAATTCCTTGATTCCTGACACAGAAATTGCCGTTTCATTGGTATTTCACCTCCGCTTTGCCTCGATCATTGTTGGCCACATCAGCTATACTTGTATGTTGGTTGCCATTTGCGGTGCGTTCGCTGATTCTATCCTGCCTTGGTCGGAGGCAGATGTCGTTCCATCCGGCTTCCACGGGTTTGGTTCTTGTGGCCTTCGCCTTTGTTTCGCTCTATTCTTTTCTCCCACACAAGGAACTGCGTTTCATCATCTATGCTGTGCCCATTTTCAATCTCGCCGCAGCTGTTATGTGGGCCTTTTTGTGAGTGTCATCTTGTTCGTTTTTTCTGCTTATTGTCATATGATGAGTATGCACTTTACTCAGTTAGCTGTGAAGGGCGTTGTGTAGCATGTGATGTTGATTTGAACAAATAAACAGCCAAACTTCCTTTCATCCATTCGGCTGTATACTCAGGAAACCGTTGACTCAAGTTTCACTCTGGCAATAACGCATATCAGCTGGAACTCCGGGAAACCCTCGCGTGAAAGGTTTTCCAGATATTGATTTAAAGATGATCAGTTTTTATACCCTGATAGCAACAAAGGGGGAGAGTGAACAGTTGATCTTTTGTTAACTCCATTCAAAAGCCTCGTCATACTGACTGTTTCCCAAGATGCAATCTGAACAAACTTGAATTGGTAGCTCTGGATAAGCTGTAATGTAAACTGTCAATACAAACACTGACTGTTATGCAGCAATGGTGAGCTCTAACAAGAGTTAAACTTGAGTTCATTGTCTTCCTGTTGAGATGGATTCATGATTGTTGTTGAAAAGGAAACATGAGGCATAGTCAGTCCGGAACAACACGTTATTAATTAATATTTTTTGAAAATTTTCTTGGAACAGTCCATAAATATGATAGATGTTTCGGATTTGTAGTAGACCTCACTCAACCGGGGACATGTGCTACTGCGGATTTACAGGAAAGAGTTGGAGTACGACTTCAGCAAAACTTTCAGTTTTCACCAACTGCACAGCTCGAGGGGGAAGGTGATGTGTTTGAAACTATTGGTGCAGTTTTTTAAATGCTCAAAAATGTGCACTAATTCGAATCTTGGTAAGGCGATTTCTCATTTCGCAGTTTCCGTTGAGCTGTGACCATCTGAATATAATATTGTATGTCAGAAGTGCAACAGTCAAAAATATATAAATATAATGGCGACTGCATATGACAATCAGTTCATTCCAGTGTTTCTCTGTTATTTGATAGCAACTCATCATCAGGGGTTCACGGACTCCATTTTCGGACCATATGGATCATTAGAATAACCTCATGATACTACATCTAAACAGGTTTCGAAAGTGCAAAAAATTTTTTGCATGAAGCTCTCAGAGCAGAGTTAACTATACCATGTGTATAGGTACAATTGAGAAAAAGCGGTCTGAACAGCCGTCCGGTGGTCAAGTGATTGGTATGCTTACGTTCTACCTACAGGATTCCTGGTTCGATTCCCGATTGGGTCGATAGATGCGCACTATTGACGGTACTCCACCAAGTCGAAACAGCCGTCCAATGCTTCCTAGATTTTCAGTTCATACTTCATCTGCTGTCTTCATGACAAAATTCAGTAATTGAAGCCTGTAAACTTTTCCTTTTTGGAATATCGGTTGTTTTGTACTGCATCGTATTGAGTACTTCTTACTCGTTTGTTTTCCTAGTGAACAATCCACATCTCGGCTTCGGGCCATGATCCAACTACACAAAAAAAGTAAAACTCGAACTTCTTCACTCAAATTTTCCGCATACCAATTTGCCACTCTACTTTGTCGTGCGCATCTTATCATGAATCTGGTCGGTACCGCAATATTGTTCACGGCAGCGCGTAAAAACTATCCAGGAGGTCATGCATTGATGCAGCTTAATCAACTTCCCAACTTGAAAGGTTAGTCGGCGTACTTAATGCAACTTATTAATGAATTTATTATTCAAAAAGGTCATCCCCATTGCAGTGGAGAGTTTGCTAAGTATTGCAATACTTGCGTTTCGTGTCTCTCTCGCTCTCCCAGGTATTCAAAGCTTTTTAACTTCCGGATGGGGTACAATAATCATTTAATTATCTTATTAGCATAGTTAAGTAAAATGTCTAAGCACGAAGTCTCGACTTTTTGGCTTGCATTTAAAAGCGGTTGCGAAATGTAGGATAATATCGCCATCACAGTATTGAACCTCTCTGGATTCAAATTCAAATAAAGCACATCAGTGTGCCTTAGAAGGGCCGTAACACGACGGATCATTGAAACGCTTCTTGTGCAGTCTCGAAACGACCCTTCACAAGTTGAATGCGGTATTTACCGGACATATTCAAACAATTCAACCGATGAGAGCCTACTGAGTTGCGATGTATCGGGGGGTCGCAGCAAAACCAAAATGTGGAAACTTTCAGGGAAAGAAAAGCGTATGTTGATACTTTTGGGCTCCAATTGATTCAATTATGCCTCAGGAATGAAAGCTCTTTTGTGGTTCCATGGAAAACAATTTTACTAGCTCTGATCTATCATAGCTACCCGTTTATTACTGGCTGAAAGTTACGGTAAGACGATCAGAAGAATGACAATGAGTCTATTTCGGGAATATGAGGTAATTCGCATAGAACGTACTGTATGAACTACTGAAGTTCGTGAAATAACCGAGCTGATATTTGATTTTTGGCGTACTTTTACCACGACATCAAAGCACGTTTTCTTTTGTTGATTTACCAGTCCGACAACGACGTTCGATTAAAGTCAAATATCGTTTTCGAACTCGATAAAGCTACAGTAGAACACGAACAATAGAAGTGGTCCGAAATTATGACCACCAACAAACATTTTGAATAGAACACAATGTAGCGAAAGGGATTTGTGTTGTGACGTTGAATGGGACGAAACGACCGGATTAGCACTAGCCGTGCGGCAGCATTGACCCACAAGCAGAACCGTACGATCGTGCGGAATAGTAACGGTACCCCAAGCGAGAACCGGAAGGAAATACGTTCCATGAACAGTACGATCCCCGGAACCTGACCAGAGAGAACAAGTAACACATGCCTTCGGGCGAGTTTGTATATTTAGCGCGACCGTCAAAGGCGAAGTAAGCGGACAGCTCGACTGTTTATGTACAGTTCGGAGACCGGCCAGCAATGACCTTGTAAAATAGCTCCAAAGTAGTGATTCACAGAAAAATGGACTAAGGAGGGTAGAGTATGGTCGGTGGTGCGCTGAGTATTTTTGGGCGCGAAAATCTGGAATTTTTAATTTTATGAAAATAAATGGAAAAACAGAAAGAAATAGTCACTTTTAGCGTGAAAATCGGGTCTACATGCCAACTTGTTTTTTATGATTCGTCTTCTTTGATGAATACATAAATACTGATTTGCCGAAGATTGGGAGGGCCTTGAGAGACTTACAGATGTGTAGAAGTAGGTATTGCACACTGAGGCATGTAGGACCCATTTCACTTCAACGCAGCTGTACATCATCAGTACCAGCTGCACTCGAGAGAGTTGAGAAAACGATTCTCTATAGCACTCTAAATACTCACTAACGCTCTCAATATTTCCTTTTATATCCCACACGTTCTCTGTTGCATTTATATTTGGATAATGTAGAGGTTCATTCGGTACCATCTGTATAAAAGCTATAATTTTAAAAAATCTGACATGTGCAAGGACGTTATTCTGTTGAAAATCACAATATTCCACATCATCTGGAACAGAGTAGTAAAAACGACCGAAGCGTTCACCATAGACAAGGAGGTGTAGAACAGTCATCATCTTTCGCGTCGTGATGAGAACGCAGCGTATGGTACAAGCGGACCACCGCCAAACGCCGTGAAACTGAGTTTAAAAGTAAATTGATGTTCTGTTTACCAAAAGTGGTTGCTAAGCTGTCTAAGGTTGTCTATAGTGTTAGTGTTTCAGCTGCAATCATCCCAAACCTCTTTTTGACTCATGTGTCCCCATTTTTATGCAACAGCAAACCACGTTTGGAAAAAACTTGTGTAAGACCGAGTGTCCTACGTTGCGACTGCCGAAGAAGCTTTTAGTTGGCGATATTTTATCATCGGAATGACAGTACGAAAGGCTAACTTTTAGGGCTATGCTCGGATCAGTAAACCGCCGGCAGCTTATCTAAAGGAGTTGACGGAAAACCTTAGTCTCAAACAGATCAGGCAGATCCGTTCGAACAACACCCACACATCTTGCTGATCGTGTCTGTGTTCACTACCTCTGTTGCGCACCTTGGACGTTTGTTACTGTCCATGGGACTTATGATATCTCGAACTGATTACCGACCCTCATTGGATTACAGTTTTGATAAGTCACCCACTGCGTCGCGTTTCAGTCTCCAGAAGACACTGAGTGTCGCAAACAGTGGCGTTTGTGCATCTACTCACTATTATTGCAACCCCATTCGATATGAATTCTTTGTCTTCTTTTGACTCTGCTCTTTTATCCAAATGGACGGCCAAAAACCAGCGCACTAAGCTTCATCAGTAATGGATGCAAAAAACTGAAACTATTATAAAGAGTGCTGGACCATGATCTGTTTGGCACACAACCTAGACACAGACAGATGCGAAGTCTAATAACGATAGTAATAGTGAACCCGAGTTACCCTTTTGAATTCCAATGAACAAGACTGTCGGTATGTGACCGAAAATCCCATGTGTTTGTAGATGTTTGTGGCAATTTTGATTGTAGGATCACTGCGACCTTTTTGTTGCGGTAGAAAAACAGAGATACGGTTTAGTGCATTTTTTCAATACCTCAAAAGCAACTTCTATCCCAAATTTTACCCGCTTTTAGAATCACATATCCACATCTGTAATCTTGCGGCGCAAACAGGTGTGACGCGTTTCCTGGAGGAACATGATACGTGGACGTAAGTGATTATTTGCGGTTCTTGTTTTGTACATCTTATAGAAACTAGATCCGTGAGTGTAAAGCTGGAGTTTGTGATCCGAACCGAATTCCCATAGATTTTTCTCTCTGTACTACGTACTCGATCTGCGCCGTGCTCGCACAATCATCACGGCTAAAGTTTGACTGGAGTCGAAAATCGAGTTTGTAAAATCAACATCCGGACCTTTTTGGATGCTTTCCCGCTCGACTTCAATGCGAACCTAGCGTTGTTGCTTTAGTATGATCTTGTAATAACTAGTCTTGTTGCATGATTGAAATTTTCCTTCTGGCTCTTCGATAGCGAACATTAAAATGTATGCGGTAGCACTATCCGTTGCAAGGCTACTGATGCCTCGTATCGCTGTTACCAGCGTGCTTTGGACCCTATGGTCCGAGTTTCGAGCACTGTCGCTCCGGCCAAACTTTGGTGGTAGGCAGCTTTGCTATCTTCTGGTTCAATACTATACCTAGCGGGGTCTTTTGTGGTTCGTCACTCGGAGCTTAGGTCACCGGTTTATATCACTGGACTGCAGGTCCACGTAACTGTGAGGCTCTGCTGTTCAACACACTAAGGTGTGTAATAAAATAATTGTAGGGGTTGACAGATCATCGCTTGTCAATTCAGTACTTGGGTTCTTTGTTCAACCCCGTACTAAAATAAGTGCATACTGCGGAAGACGCAGGGCAATAAAAGTCAGATGTACGGCTTAGAAACTACAAGGCTCCGTCGTTAGCAGTAGCTCGATATCTGCTGNCTTTTATGCTAAAGCCCGATATTAACATTGCGTTTTCTGCAGTACTCACCATGTTGGAATGCAGCGACATCATCCTGGACATGAATCGTGCAGTGCGTGATTTTTCTCTTGACATCCGACTGTTGTCTTTCCTCTGTTAACCACATCTTATTGGGTTTCTGGGTGCATTTCGTTTGTCTTCCGTAAGTTTTGGTGCGGATATGGACAACGAAATAGGTTGATGCATGATTACTTCCGGCGAAGTTGGCATAATTAGTGACCCGATAGGTTTTTTATTCGCAATTTTCTTATAGTTAATTGGCAGATTTGAAGTTTGTATGTCGATTGTGAAAAGTTCAGTAGCCTCGGTGGGATTCGAACCCACGCATGGACGCCGCCTACGCTTTGTACGCGCATGCTCTACCAGCTGAGCTACGAGGCCACACCGATAGCACTGATCTTTTCACATTCGAATTTACCCATCCAACTTACAGAGGCATATGACATCGAATCCCACTGAGGCTACTGAACTTTTCACAACCGACATACAAATTTTCTTATATTCTGACAGCTCATCGACCAGTAACAAGCATCAACCAAACCGATCCAAGGTAGTTTCTTTTCAAGACGGAAGTCAATTTTTCCGATGCTCTAGATCGTCTTATTTTTACAATACAGTATAATAACTGAAATATCAATCTTCATTATTTTCGAGCGTTTTATTCCAACCACCTCAAAAGTATGCTCATTATAGTAGAGTTTCACAGCTTTCTTGTGGTAAGGAACAGAGAACATTTTTTATCTCGTGATGGTTTTCCACTCTGATAACAATCTGGTTGTTAACACTAAGTGTGGACATGACATCTGTTTTTCTAAAGTGGGTTGGTGAGCGCCAACGGTTTGTGCCGATTTTAGACCGTGCTAAATTCGTAATGAATCTCGCGATTAATTTGGCGGATACTCTATTGAGATTAGGAAGAAGATGGATGGTAATATGTTCCATCACTAATCAAGTGTGTCAGTATAGCTTATAAGGCGATGGCACCAACCGACAAACGTTTCAAATCGAGACTTACTAAAAGATTGCCAAACACGAATTTTCACAACGCATGTATTCAATTGTTGCAAATCGCATCTCCGACGCCTGCAGTGCGAAATATTCGAAAAAGGCGGTCAGAGTTTTCCGTAGTATATCATTTCCGATTACACAGCGCAGAATCGGCAGGCAACTATGTTGATTGATGGCAACTCACGTCTTCATTTTAAAATACTGGTATCCGTAATCCTTACTTAAATCATCCATTCATGATCAAAGTTCGGCGACTGATTTCCTCAACATTTTTGGTTTCGGTTGTCATCTTTGAACTGCTTTTCAGATGAAGAAGTAAAAAGCTGAGAGCAAAATCAGTGTGATCCGTGAATTCCTCAAGAAACATTCGCACTCTGATCGTCAATTGAAGCGCACACATGCGTTTGAGCTGCGACACCTTTTAATCTTCTGGGAAGGACATCTAGTCAAGAATGCTCATAGAAGTGGATAGCATACAAAGTACCTAAATTCATTCTCTGCTTACACTGTCTTTTGAGTGGTTAGTTGATTGAGTTCGATTTTTTCACACGCGTTCTGCCGTAAGGTATTATCCCCACTAGACAGTTGCGGTGCATGATGGATGGATGTATCTTCTACCAGCCCCTTTTTCTCTTTGATTACGCTGACGTTGGATTATGAAAATCATACAATAGATAAATGCTATACGCATACACACATTGTGATCAAATCCTAATGTACATCTACTGACAATTCACTTGTTTTTTCCAGATACAACAAAACCGAGGGTATTGAACACGATGTTGCTTTACTGGAGCATCTCTCGTTTACGCACTTGATCTCGGAGATTCCAGCTCAACAGATGCGACAACGATCGGACAGATTTAACCCGCTGTTTAGTGTCGAAGGATTTGATGGAATAGGCTTCAAATTGAATTGGTTTACCATATGGCAATCCATATATTTTCGTACATCAACTCACTTAACGGTATACGAAAAGCTCCAGTGAATTTGTACTGTTTGTCCTGAGGTTAAAAAGTCAACGACACGTGTTTTTTTTAATCTATATCGTAAAAATGTGGTGCACGTTACTGGTGATGGGATTCGGTCAAATGCGGATACCTTTCCAAAATTCTGTTTCCTTCATCACTACTGTCTTCTTCTGAGCCGTAATCCTTTGTCGACAGTGTATGAGGCAAGGGTATGGCTGGCTCGTCGCGATCTAATTCTGTACACAACTGATCCATTCGTTTCCATCGTCGGATGTAGTCCTCAATGGTGGCCTTCAATCGAACGTCACATGTCAATCTTGTTTCATCCAGCGGCATCATGGTGAACGGATCAACTGGTGCAGATCTAGCGTTACTAGCTTTCCGCTCATTCCAGAATTGAATCAGACTGGACCGGTCGACGTAGTTACCCGAAGGAAGTCGGATAGGTTCTTGCATTAGTTCCCCAGTAAGAAAGTCCACAAATTGCTCCGGTGCCACTATGCTGGAGCCATTGGTAACAGTGGGTGAAAGGCGTTCGGACGATGGAGTATCGTTTGAGTCTGAATTCAAATGTGATAAGACGGCGAGCTATTTTCGTTAGTTTAGATGTAAATCAAATCAAATCATAGCCCTTGCTTCATTCAATCTGCAGGAAAGATATCGTTATCGTTCAAACATCATCATCGTACAGCGAGATACAGTGAAGCGAACTTCACTGATCGCTCCCAACATACACAAATCACGCGATAAAGCACAACACAGAGATTGGGCCTAGTCGGACGGAGGCAAAGAAAGTGAATACAGAGTACACAATCTAACCGTGCACACATACCTTTCCAAGCATACTGACTTAATAAAAAATGACAACAAAAAAGCCACTGCTGTCGGTTCGTTGCTATATCCTTCAGTGTCTCCAACCAACCAACCTGGAGGGCGGGAGACACCAATTCTGCCTAATCGCTCTGTGTATTTCTTCATGCCTCGTTTCTACGTCATCTGTTGATTTCCACGCGGTTTCTTCCAGCCTTGAGCCAAAACTGCAAATAAGGCGCGGTGCGATAAACGATGACTGAACATGCGCAATACGTGTCCTAACCAGCGAAGCCGACTAATCTGAATTCGATGGGGACAAAGAATTCTCCATCGATTCATTACCAAATACGCGACGCCTCACCTGAGAGTTGCTTACAAGCTCGCTCCATCCAACCAGAGCCAAACTACGTAAACATCTGCAGTGGAATACCTCAAGACGACGAATACCTTCCAGGAGCAAATTTAGGATCTCGCAACCATAGAGCAGAACTGGGCGCACACTGGCGCAGTATACACGACCTTTCAGTTCCAACGAAACATCGCGTCTACACCAAAGGTGTTTCAATCCTGCGTAAGCTGCTCGAGCCTTAGAGATGCGGGTGGTTACTTCATTGACTATGCTACCGTCATTTGAAACGCAGCTACCTAAGTATGTGAAACATTCCACTACAGCTAATTCTTTACCATCAAGCATCAGAGCTAGGGTAGACGACACCCAGTCTTGTAGCATCACTTTGCACTTTGAAGGTGCAAAGTGCATACCGAATGAAGTTCAAACGTTCATATATGGGACTATTTTCGTGCATCCCCCAATGATCAGTACAAAATTAAGATGCGGATTTCATTTAAATACACTTTATAAATACTTTCATCCTTCGTACCAGCTGATGTCAGAGCGGACATCATTATTTTAGTGGTAAGGGCTAAAACCAGATGTTCTCCGTATGTGTTTGTGCATGCGCATGTAAACAGCACTAGCATACACCAACCGGAATGCACACCGATTGTTATGACTCATCACAGTTAGGAGAACTTGACCGTGTCGCTTGATTTTGCTCTATTCTTCTGTCAAATGGAGAAACCGTCTCAGCCATTGCACCTGGAGCTTGTATTAGTCTACGACTGCAATACGCTTCCGCGGACCAATCCGTTATCATTTTGGCACACACGCAAAGCCGGATTTCAATTCAACAGTGTGTATTCGATTTTTCACATACCTGCTACCTAGAAATGTGAGAAGCTGGTGTCCAATGCATCTAATGCGCTGTATTGTTAATCCTATTGAAACTGGAGGGTCAATTGACAAATTGGCATCCGCCAAAAAACGAACTACCAATCACCGTACAACCACATTGTCTTCGCATAGATAGCTGCGGGAGTCATGCCAACATGGGGGGCGGGTGCCTCCGCTCGTGGGACTACGAGAGTAGAATGAATCCGCTAATTATGACAGATAGCCGCGAACAACCAAATTAGCCCAGTTGACACTTAACCAATACTGGACGGGGTTCGGAAGTGATCATTCTGTAATCGAGTGTTGCATCTACAAACTGGCCAAGGAACTGAACTGTGAGATCGTGTAATACTGAGTTGTAGGTTCATTTTAAGTAAGATGACAAAATGATACAGGTTGACCGACGCGTATCTAGTCTTGTCTACTCGTATTTATGACAGTGGCGAACAATTAGGTGAGGCTTTTTCAGGATCGTGGTCAATGGTAAAACAGTATAAGTGTTTAACTGAGAAGTGGGAACACCTCATACAATAACTTTGAGATGCTATATTGTAAAATGCGTTTTGTACAGAAGTGTGGTTCCCGTCTTAGAACTTTAAAAAAACCTGCTGTTGGTGTGTATATGTCTACATTATGTTTTAATCACAATGAACAACTAAAAAAGTTGATAAGTTGTATGTGAGCGCAAAATTTCATAAAATACTCACTATCGGAAATTGCTTTTCCATCCGACAAATATCCGTTCGTTTCCCCTGGAGAAATACCGGAACACCAAAGCTCTACTGCACCCAAACAAGGCACGCATGTTCTATCTGTTTTGCTCAGCTGAACCAAAACATGACGTTTCTTTTTGTACTGCCGTAAACCTGTAATAAATAACTGATTGTGATAACAAAAGCTTACACACGGGGATATTTATCTCGTATAAACACATGGCCGAGTGCGAACAAGAAGCAGCAGGGATCGCTGCTTCGGAACGTAAACGCACAATGACCACTGTTCGGGCCGGATAGCTTTCCAAATTGACCGAGGCCAAGGGCTGAGCTTAATTGAATCAGTTCTATTATTAATCTTACCCGAAAATGTTTCCAATCACGTAATAATCGATCAACAACAGCATTTGTCGGATTATCATCGTTTGGCGCATCGCTCAGCAAGAATATCTTCATACCAGTCACTCTGTGCCGTCCGATGTACGGCTTAATAACGATTGCATGCAAGTCGACATCAATGGGAAGGCAAAACAGAACGTTAACTGGAGGTCGAACAATTGGTGGACATAGCATCCCACATTCACGAGCCTCCGCAGCATTGGAGCGTATCAATCGGGAAACTGGGAAGNCAATCGGGAAACTGGGAAGAACCGTTCAGTTGGTCGGTCGCAAAAGACCTTTGTAGCGCATTCAACGGAAGCGGCATTCAACATTAAGTGAAGAATATTTCAATGTTTGAACAAGGAAGGATCAAACCGAATTAGGCATTCCGGACATGCATCTGTAAAAAATACAAATACTTTCTGAGCAAAATACTACCAATGGAATACGGTGAGTTCAGTTTCAGTTTTTACAATCGTTAACCATGCATTTCCATGTGCCGGTTTTGGCCGCCCATTTAGATGAAATAGCAGAATGGGGGTCGGAATCCCGAGAGCAAATGCCAGGGGAAGATTATTCATAAAGACAGGTTGCAAGAATAATGAGTCGATGCACGAGCGCCACTGTTTGCGACATTTAGCCATATCACTCAGTGTCTCTAACCACCGGTTACCATGATCTCGGAGTCACCATCCAGTGAGACTAACAGGACCTATGTGACCCAGTCTTCTGGTTAGGATTTGCACACCCTGATACCAAGTCTGAGATTGATCGCTCTTGACCTTTTCTCATCCGTTACCAGTCTCGGCAAAGATCGCTCGCCGTGGCAACCTATTTCGTGACATGCGCAGCACATTTCCCAAACAGCGCAATCTATGGAGGTCGATCACTGGCTCCAGTGGACGATCGCCATCACCAAAATCTCTACGCTTAACCTCAGCAATGCTCGTTCGGCTTCCCCACCAGATGCGACGTAGATAGCGATGTTCGAACACTGAAAATCTATTTCTATCCTGTTCTCGTAATGGTCAAGTCTCTGCATCGTCAAGCAGAACTGGCCGAACTGCTGTAATATACACTCGACCACTCATGGATAGCTGAATGTCGCGACAGCACCACAG